GATACCTAGAAAGTGTACTTAAGTGAAGCAACGAAGTATTTGTACTTTGTAACTTGACACCTCTGGAAACCAGGACCACTTGATGTGGGTCATTCGCTCTGCAGAGAAGCTGACTGGCTGCATTTTTCCTTCTTTCCAGGAACTGTACACCTCCAGGACTTTGAGGCAAGCAGGTAAGAGAATAGCTGACCCCCTCAGCCTCTCGCCTTCAGACAGGAGGACAGGAGCATCCAACCACCAAACAGTTTCTCCCATCTCCCCCATTAACAGGGACCAAGGTTTCCACTAACATGTTGGGGGGGTTGGAACCCTCAGCACGTGTAATACTATTCAATCTAACTTCATACTGTTCATCGCTTCTTTTTATGATCTGGTTTTCATTCTTTACAGTCTCAGTTTCTTTATTCCAGATTATATAAACCCAGCTTTAATGTGAGCGGTACCCATATCCCAAAAACAAACTTCTGGTAAGCGTCAAACACGGCTTGGCAATAAAGCTTTCTCTGAATATGACAAAGCATGGCAGGTTTTAGGACTCTAATGGGATGAAAGGGAACAGAGGGGTGTGAATACTTTTTTTCTACAAAGTGAAACTTCCTAATAAAGCTCATCCAAAGAAAGAACTTCAGCAAGTATTTAAATCATTACACAAAAATAGTGTAAAATTTATCATACTTTATTTCATTTGAAGTTGGAAAAGAATCTTAATAAAAAATAAAAAACAAAATGACTTATCTAGATTCAGATTTTTTGCAGTGAGAGCTTGTTTTCTGACTGATTAAAATGTTTTCCATGTATCGGTTCTTCACTCCGTTTCCACAACTATCTGACCTCCTGCCGTCATGTGACAATCTGCCTCCACTCAGTGTCTTTAGTCGTTACTCACTTAGTCTGGAGGTAAAGGAAGACTGTTTACCTGCTGCTTGTTGCTTACGAACAAAGCAGTGGCCCGTCTGTAGGAGCGACAGAACCACGATCCACAGGGCCGGCAAGGCTGCCATTAAAGAAAACGCCTGGAAGGAAAACAGGAAACAGGATAGGAGAGAAGAGTAAATTCCTAAGTTCTCTGATCAGCAGAGTCTGTAGAGAAAGACGAAGGTCTCACCTGCCAAACAAGGTGGAACCACTGGGCTTCAGACTGACCAATCCGTCACCGTCTCCTCCAGACAGCCATAAACATCAAAGTAGCAATGAAGCCTGAAACCAAGTTTTCTCAGTACTGCTGGTTGGGATGAGTTCAAACCGGTTCTACCACATACCAGGTGGAAGGGAGAAACCCTGTAAACAGGTTTCTTAGTGGAGGTGAGCTTAGTTGTTTGGTTAGTGCCTCTGCTTACAGCCAATGACAGAACATCAGCTCTACGGTCAGCTGTGCTCAGGCTGAGTCAGCAGGAAACAACGAATGGAACAGGTTCTGCCGACGCGCAGGGAGGTGGATTGGTTCTCAGCAGGGAAGGGAGAGGCTGAACAGTAACATGATACCTTCAAAACTCAACTCACGTCAACACGTCCATTTACAACAGAAAGGATCAATCATCCTGACCCTGACCCTGATCCTGATCCTTTTCCTGACACTGATCCTGATCCTCACCCTGATCCTGATCCTTAGACCTTGACCCTGATCCTGACACTGACCCTGAGACCTTGATCCTGATGCTGACCCTGATCCTGATCCTGACCCTGATCCTGAGACCTTGACCCTGATCCTGACCCTGATCCTGATCCTGAGACCTTGACCCTGATCCTGACACTGATCCTGAGACCTTGACCCTGATCCTGACCCTGATCCTGACCCTGAGACCTTGATCCTGACGCTGACCCTGATCCTGAGACCTTGACCCTGATCCTGATACTGATCCTGACCCTGACCCTGATCCTGACCCTGAGACCTTGATCCTGACGCTGACCCTGATCCTGAGACCTTGACCCTGATCCTCACACTGATCCTGATCCTGTTCCTGACACTGATCCTGATCTTGATCCTGACCCTGAGACCTTGACCCTGACGCTGACCCTGATCCTGATCCTGTTCCTGACGCTTACCCTGATCCTGACCCTGACCTTGAGACTTCAGTTTCAGTACAAACCATTCGACCCTGATCCTGATCCTGTTCCTGACGCTTACCCTGATCCTGACCCTGACCTTGAGACTTCAGTTTCAGTACAAACCATTCATCACATTCATTGGGGTGGGGGGTTTACTGCATGCCGCAGAATGCTGCCTTTGGCGCATTCTTACGGCTGCCGAGGGCCCCAGAACGTAGGCGGGTCCCTGTAGCTCTGCCTTAAAGGGGAACGCCTTTTTTTTCATTGGGTCCTTGATTTTCCGTTATTCCATCATGTTCTACTCTCCCATATGAGTTTAGTGTCATTTGGAGCCGTTCTGAAGATATTCCGTTAGGTTATATCCAGTAACGTCTTCCTATGGGCAACGACTTGAAGGCACAAACTAAACTGTTCATCATTTATTCTTTATGGTACGCCAGCATTCAGAACATGGAGGCCAATCACTGGCAGGTCTCGGCCTAACAGGTAAATCCTGCGCTCCAGGTGAGCAGATCGCACCTTCAGACATAGAAAGAGTGCATCTTGAAAAATCAATGAATGGATGCAATCTGCTGGTTTCATTTAAGAGAAAAGCTTTTCCTCAATAAGCTGAATTGATCGTTTCAGGATTCATTAAGTTTTCTGAAACTGACCAGATCTACGAGTGCGACTGGTTTCCAGTTTATCCACTGATTTGATCTTAGGAAATATTTTCTGATGATGCTTTGCATTAAAGTGCATTTTACACCAGTAGATGGAGCTCCTGGTCTTTAGCAGATAGTTAAACAGCCCAAGTTTAGTCTGATTGAATGTGGACTGTTGCCAAGACTTTCCACATTTTCTATTGGATTTAGACCAAAACTTTAACTAGGCCATTTTAACGGAATCACTACATCTTTATTTGTCCCCCAGCCTGGAGCAGCACTCCAGTAGAGTGAAGATCAGTTGCAGTACGGGGTCAGGGTTCAGACATCCGAGGTCTGAGGTCTGCTGACGTCAGAAAAAATGTCCTTAAAAGGATCACAGTCGATGAGAGGAGGGAAAAAGATCAAAGGATCAAGTTTGAGATGACAAGAAACTGAGGAAGAAGAAGAAACACAGGTAGAAAAAATAACATCATGGGGGAAACGCTGAAGGTATGTTTATATCTCTGACCCAATGTGTGTGTGTGTGTGGGCAAATGAGGCACTGTCCCTAATTTTCACCAACCAGCTGGACATGCAGCAGCTTCCCAGATGTCCTCAGGGTAGGGAGCGGCCAGAGCGCCGTGTTTACAGACTAAGAGAGGTCTGATGATATATGACCTTCAAGGCCGAATGAGGGCAGCAGATTTCAGACAGAACAGGTTTTTTGGGTCTCGCTGAATCTTAATTATTTTCCTTGAAAGTTTCTTGCTGGTGCCTCATTATAGAGGATCCAAGTAGAAACATTCCTGATCTTCCTGCCAGATGTGAGTTAACAACTTTCTAAGATTCTACCATTCAGCAAACTTTGATGATCTAGAAGTTAGAAGACAGTAGGTGAAGCAAAAGGCTCATTCTCTGCATGATGTCCTCCGGTTCCTTTCACCTGGACTCACCTGGACTCACCTGGACTCACCTGGACTCAGCGATCCTAACTCATAGTGAAGGACGAAACACATTCATTTGTGATGCTTGCTGAGTAACGGTGAGGAAAACGAGCTTTAGCCCCACCCACCCACCACCTTCCAGCCAATCACATCTTTGGCTGGATTACATTTTAAAAAACTGACCAAACAAAAGCCTGTTTTTATTGATTCCATCTGTTTTTTTTTATTAATTTGATCCTTTAAATCTGTTGACAAGGCAGATCTAGGATTTTTCAAAGGGGGGGGGGGGGTGCACACATAAGGGGAATGTAAAGACAACCTGATGCTAAATGAGCAAAAAAATGCCTTCTTTACTCTTTCATAGAACTCCAACTATTCATCTAAAGTTTTTATTAATAAATGTTCGTTTTATTGGGTGAACATAAAGGGAATTTACGTGATTTCATCATTTTTATCATTTTTCAGCCAAAATCTCTAGGTTTTAACAGCCAGCAGAGGGTTAAAATTATCCGTAACAATTAATCAAATAAAGCTTCTTCATTTCCAGAAATATTTATTTTTAAAAAGGACATAAAAAAGACTCAAGTATTGAGAACAGTTTGCTATGGATCCAGTGATAAAGGATTTTTGAATTTATTTTAACCAGAAAAGCTTAGTCTTAAGAAAAAAAAAACCATTAAATGAAATTAAACCATAAGCCGAAAACAGAACAGCAAGACTTGACAAAGACCTGAAACTGATACCAAAACAGAAACAACCTAAAATCTGAAGGACAGTGAGAGCCAAAATGGTTTCTGCCATGCCAGTTAGAAAATGTTCCAAAAAAGTAAAAAAAAATAAAAACAATCCACTGGAGTTTGTTTCCAAGTTTGAAGACGTTTGTATTATGGACACTCTATGTAGGAATGTAATGAACTCTAATGTAGGAAGGACAGGAAAAACAGAAAAAAAGAGAAAATATGAAGATAGAAAGGAGATAATGATAAAACATCTTCAGTCTGCTTCATCACCTGGAAAAAGAACAGAACAACCAACGGACATGTTACGAGAAATACCATAAAGTATCACCTTGATACTATCGCTGAAGTAGTATTATTTAATCTGACATGTACTCTGTGTTACCTGAAGATCAGAATATGGGCTTTCTGTGTGGAGGTGAATCTCTGAGTTCCTGGAACCAAACACCTGTAGTTGATTGTGAGGGTGAGCTTGTTCATGTAAAGTTTATCCAAAGGAAAAATGCTCAATGGTGGATGTGGAGAGCCGGAGAGGTGCCCCCTCCCCACCCCCCCCAGATGCCCAAAGGGACCCCAAGAGCGAAGGCCCAAAGGAGGGGCCAGCCCAGGAAATCCGACCCCCACCAAGGGAGGAGGAGAGACAGCCCTGAGGAAGTCCCCCAGCCACCGCCATGCCGGAGCCCCCAGGAGCTGCGAGGACGAGTCTGTGGGCTCCGCTGGCAGCGGACCCTGATGTGGATCAGCCATGGGCCCCAGGTACCTGAGGCCCCAGGGGCACCCTGCCCCCTGGTGGGAGCCCCGACCAGGCCCCCGGGGGTCCTGGCCCCGCGAAGCAGCTGCCAGGAATAAGCCGGTACCCGGCCGGACATCAACCCCCAAACAAGGCTAAATGAATCCAATTTGATTCGGTTTAAAATTGAAATGTAATCAATGTCTTCATCTCTTGCCTCAACTACGTTTCCATCGCTCCCTTTTAAATGATCTTCTGTCACATTAATCCTGTAGAGCTTAACATTTCAGATTGGGTCACAGATTTGGTCCCGTTTAAACTAAGTGGTGCCGATAGGAAAGCATCCATTTCCTCCGACTGCTGCTGAGGAAGCTTATAAGAATGAGCCTGATAAAGGCATTACAACTATGAGACTTTATAGGATGGCTTTATCCTCAGCTTTTCAAACAATAACATGCCTTCTTCTCATTTCTTTACTTCCATTTTATCTCATGACCGTTTCCAAATTTTTCCATTTTCCCTGCAGACCCTCCAAAATCAGAAGTTTTCAGAAATTCTGGGCTGATTCCCTTAATGGCCCTTTTTAGGTTCCATGCTGTGATGTCCTTTAGGCTCAACACTAAATGGACATTTTTAAAGGACAGAAAGAAACAGTTCAGCAACATTTACAGGCAACTGGAATATCTAGAATCATGTGTAAAATAATGTCATTTACCCGCCATGAAACTAAGATTAACTAGATTAACTATTATTTCTAGCTTTCCACCCCACCTCCTTTAAAATATATTTACTTTTCTTATTATTAATTTTTCTGTTCTTACATTTGGTGTTTTACATGTTTTAACTAATAAGTCAGAGATGTTATGCATTAAAAGATGTTCTGCTGGATCAAACCTCCAGCCATTGTTGACTGATGGAGATAATTACTGACATCATACTAATAAATTTACAAACTCAGGAATCTTTTACTCCAACAACCAAAAAAGGACCAATCAAGCACACGGTTCCTGGAAATGTTTTATTGATTCTTAAACATGTAAGACCTTAATAAAAAAAATGATTATGTGAATTGCAAGTGATCATAAATATGAAAACTTTTTTTAAAAATAGGATAAATGTGAACATTTGGAAAGGCTTTAGTGAGATCATAATCCATGTTTACTCAAACACCCACTGATTGTCTGATCTAAGAACCCAGAGCGGGTAAGATGGAGGCTCCTGACAGCACCGGCATCAGAAACCTGCTGGAGATTCAGGGAAACCTTTCAGCTCCGGCTGAAAACTGAATCTGGTCTAACTACCGAGAGGTTGGCCGTGATCAGGCCAGTTTGAAAACAGCACGTCTCTGTCTAAGGGACAGACCCAGCAGCAGGAATGTGAGCAAAACAAAATGGAAACCAAGAGGAGAACGCGGCTCAAAAAGTTCATCATAACAATAACACTGCAGAGAGCACAAACGCTTCTTTCAGAGAAATCACATTCAGATTACAAAGAAACTATAAAAGCAATAAACATATTACCAATAAAAGCAACAAGCAGAAGGTCCATCTGCAGCCCAACATCTCAGCCACGGGTTAAAAACCACTAAAGTTGGGTTTTTATTGTGATTCCCTAAAGCTTTATCAGCAGATCCAGTCACCATGAACACTGTGACCGCTGCTGAGGACCATCATGCCTGATGAGAGCTTAGGAGGCGAGACAAGCTGTCCAGATCAAAGCAATGACACCAGCATACAAAAATAAAGCTAATTAAGGTTTTTCAACACAAGTAAGGCCTTTATTTCACTGGGAGGAATTTTAAAGGCACTATTATCTGTGGGATGATCGGGGGCTCTGACATGATGATCGGGGGCTCCGACATGATGATCGGGG